TCTTTCCCTTGGTGACTCTCTTCAGCTTTCTCCCCTTTGTCTTTGAATGTGTGTTTAGTGCTATAGGAGCTCTCTGGGGGCTGCAGTGACAGAGAGGTGTGAAACCCAGCCACAGTCCCCGGATACCTCAGGGGTTCACTGGGGGAGGTAATATATCAGGACAAGCTCCACAGTGAATGATGCAGATGGTGCTTTGGGGCCGGGGCGGTGGGCTGGGGTGTCAGGCAGGAGGCAGGCCTCCAAGGGCTTTGCTGTCCTTTAGAGGAGCTGGGTTTCTCCATCTGGAACCCATATGAGAAAAGAGGTACTCTCCCCACTGCAGTGAGCCTTTGTGGGTCTCGGGGATCCTTCCCAAGCCTCCCACATTTCCCCTCCCGTCCTCAGCAAGGGCTCAGGCCGTGGGTTTCCTCCTTGTGCCTGTGTGTGTTGAGTGTCCTGGTGGGACTGAAGGCTGGGCTGTGCCCTGGCTTCATCTGCAGAGAGGTGAGCTATAGATCCGGTGCTGAGAGCGTGGGGCGGGATAGGAGGAGGCCTCTGTAACCCCAGCTGTGGGCCAGGGGCAGGGGCCAGCACCTCTCTGCCTGGGCTTGACACGGGGTCTTCTCTCCTAGCCCATTTCTGGCAACTCCTTCCCGGGCCCACCCTGGGTTGGGGAAGAGCCGTGATGTCTGGAGTTACCAGTTGGCGTTGTTGCCTCTTATTTCTTCCAACCCTGCCACCCTTCCTTCTTGCTATCTGATGTCATTTGCAGGATCCCTGCGGAGCCAGGGGCTAGGCAAACTGCAGGCCTGCTTATCCTTGCGAAGGTACCTTTGGATGTTGGAGAAAGGAAAACGAAGGCAAAACAGAAAGGCAGGGAGAGGCCTGGGCAGGTCTGTTTGCCACGGCAGGCCTATGGCAGGAAGAGTCTCGGGTTTGAACGGCAGTGTAACAGCCGAGGTCCAGGAAGGAGGGTGGCACCGCCCCTCTGCCTTCAGGGCTGCTGTGTGTGACCAAAGCTCAGGCCCTGTCGCCTTCGGGGTGTGGGCTCCGACAGTGGATCTCACGGCTGCTAACCCCAGAGCACGTGCTGCTCCACTTGGCCCAGAGGCAGAGAGAGACAGAGCAGGGCAGGCGGCGGGGACCCACCAGCCCTGAGGGGCTTGCAGCCAGAGGGGGATAGTTCAGCCCACTGTCCTTGTCAGAGGTGGCCAGCAGGACTGCAGCTGTCCTGGGTGCTGGGTCTTCCTGGTCGGCCCATTTACCTGCTGATTGGATACACAGGCATTGATAGTGTATGGTGGGATGACTTCCTGCCTCTGTGCTCATCCCCGCAGGGTGGGGCTGTGGACCTGGGTCCTCGGTAACAGTGAGAACAGAGGGTCTCTTCTTCTCTGTGTCTGTGTCTCTCTTTCCC